ATTTGGTGGCATTTCATGTGCGAGAAATATAAGCTCGTATGACGTAAAGAAAGCACAACGCACTTGCAGTTCACAAGAATTGACTTCAGAGATAGAACCGCTGATGAGTTGACCGTGGTCAGAAATGAAATCGTGGCACTGCTAACGAGTGGCAGGCTTTGCAAACAAACTTGGTTAAGCAATACGCTGTGCCAGTGTCGAGGGTGAATACATTAAAAGAAAAGAGCATGAAAATGAAGGGTTGTTTTAAAACTTATTATTGCATTCACAACTCACAAGCGACAACATGAATGGAATCAGCTTATCCACCTAAAGGTCAGCACTGAACAAACCATGTTAACATATGTCTAGCAACACACACAAGAGAACCAATACTGTTGAATACTTTCACTTCTAACAACTGATTGCCACTGCTGTGAAAAATACTGCATTGCTCAAATGACCACTTCCAGATATATTATTTTTTTTTTAGCAGAACAACTGTTACGCCAACTGTTTAGTGTGGCACATGAGCATTAAGTAGAAGCACCTACACTCTGTCTCGACAAATCGATGCAGTGCAGCGAAGGCTGAGATTCCTGTTGGCCCATTGTGAGCACGTGGTGGTAGCATTTTCCAAGAGGCTTGCTATACCACAGTATGCAGCTGATCCTTACACACGTCCGTACTCAGAAATTCCATGCTGCACAAAGGGTGACCAGAGGCAGACTGTGAAGAAAATCTTGTGCTCCGCTCTTCCTGGTCAGTTGATGCAACCCACAGCTTTATCTGCACTGCACCAAACTGGCAAGATGAAGCATGGATGGTTGCCTAATTATCAATTCCATTCATGCTTGATCAGTTGCAATCACTTGCAGGTGGTAGGAAAAACCGAAACGTGTTCAGACAGCAATGTAGCAACAGGTAGATGGCACCATGCGCTAAAGACGACGTTAGATCTGCCTGATGAAGACTACACAGTACTTTACTGAGTTAATGTATGTCGTACAGGAAATAAAGCCAATTTTCCTCATTTCCAGCAAATAAATCAGAAATTGAGAAGTACAGCTGGAAGACGACTGATCTCTTTAATTCATCATCAATTTCGGTTTGTGTATTTGAATCATACAAATAGATTCCCATCTTCCAGCTTGGCTGCAGTGTTCGTACACATTCGCAGTGAGAGAACACTTCATCCCGATTTGGAATAGACATGACAAGCCAGCTGCAAAAAGCCAGAAATGGTGGATGACCGAACAATACAAGCAGACGCATACCAGAGTTTATAGAAACTGGAGCTGCACATTGGTGAATTCACTGCGTCTTTCAAGATTTCTTCACATACATGGGTTTGCCGACAGTAACATTAACACGACTATAACTATGGAATTTGTCTGAAACAGGTATCTTTAAATGCTAACATACAGTCAGGGCTGCCTTGTTCTTCTCGAAAACATATGCAAACAAAGCATCGCGTGTATGTGGCAACTAATAACGATCAATCAACCACACAAACTACGGGCAAAGTAAGAATGACTAGCAAGCCATCAGCAAAAAAAAAAAAAAAAAAGCAAGACATGAGAACCACCACAAGCACTGGCATACTGCTCTCACCAACGGAAGAGAAGAGGCAAAATGCAGTTTGCACACTGGTAACATGCAGAGGTACCATGCGAAAACCCACCATGTGCCATTGGTACTTTTCCACTTTGAGGGAGCATACCGCACAAACACAGGTGATAATACAGCCTAGCATATCTATAACCGGAGTGACAAAATGAAAAAAAAAAAAAAAGTCATGGTTGAATGCAGTTAGACCATGCTTGTCGAGCTATAGCAGGAAAGCACGCCGTGGTGGTCTCTTGCATGGCAAGCAGTGGTACGCTGCCTACATTTTTTCTTCGTATTGCTGGCGTAGGAGTCGCGTGATGCAAGTTGAGGTCTCAAGGCGCGCACACCTGCTGCCTTGAATGTAAATGCCCGAAAAAAGTCTGTCTGGTTGTGTATGAAACTGGGAGATGATTTAGACTCCGGCCAAAAGTTTTTGAAGAAAGCCGACGTTTCGAAACAGACTTGGTTCGTTCCTCAGGGGTGACTGCAAGACTACGTAGCAGCAGCGTCTTCAAAGCATTCGCGGGGCGGATAATATCCCCCCTCTCTATCTCGTTTTGCCTGTGGAGCGCAGTGCCATGTGTATAACACTGAGGGAAGGGCTCCGAGAGAGCGGTTAATGTTATAGGGTGTCCTCTCTATGTGTCACGACTCGAGTAGTAACCTTCTCCTCCAGTTCAGTTCGCTTTCAAGAATGGTTTTTGAAGCAACAGCCATTCTTGAAAGCGAGCCGAACTGGGGGAGAAGGCTATTACTCGAGTTGTGACACATAGAGAGGACAACCCATAACATCAACCGCTCTCTCGGAGCCCTTCCCCCAGTGTTATACACATGGACTGCGCTCCACAGCAAAACAAGATAGAAAGGGGGGGTTATTATCTGCCCCGCGAGTGCTTTGAAGATGCCGCTGCTACGTAGTCCTGCAGTCACCCCTGAGAAAGGAACCAAGTCGGTTTCGAAACGTCGGCTTTCTTTAAAAACTTTTGGTTGGAGTCTAAATCATCTCACACCTGCTGCCTCGCGGCTCTCACTGACCAATGAAAGAGTGTGCATGGGAAAGAAAAATTGATACTGCGCGCCTGCTGCTATGAAAACAGACATGCGAGGAGGAGATTGCCCTTGGTTGATCTTCAAGGTCACACCCTTGCAGTCATTTCTCGTGTTTGTACGTACTGGGTATGGTGCCTAAAGTATGTTGCAGGTCTGCCGCCTTCACACTGTCTCCATGAAAGGCCATGTCTGCACCGATGATGCATGATCTGCGGTCACGGAGCTCCAATTGATAGCAGCGTGCCCTGGGGGCTAGGGGGCGCCACGATCGATCGGAGCACCGTGACTGAGGAGTATGCAACACCAAGCGGCCACGGCGGAGACGGCAGACTAAGCAGAGCCGGCGTACTAAAACATAGATTTCACATAGTACTCCCTTTTACTTTGGTTCAGTTTGGTTGGAGAGAGAAATATCTATAATGCTTTCCTAACTGCCTCACAGCATTAGGTTGGTTTAGAAACTGACCTGGAAAGGCTAAACTTTACCTCTGTAATGTTGCACAGTTATGCTGCATGAAGTTCAAGCTAAAAAAGTGGCCAGGCCTGAGCGGGGCGTGTCGCACAGTCACAGAAAAGCTCGAAGAGAGGCCTTTTTTAAACACTCTTGGGGCAACTACTACAAGAACAGTCGCATGGTACCCACTACACCATAAATCATAATTTTTGTGTAGTGGAGAGTCCACTACGCCTTATTCCTCATTCTTCGGAAAAGCATGGTCCCCTCTACACACTTGTAAGGAAGTATGTGACCTGCTTATCCCACTGTCTAGATGCTGTGGTTGACGACGATAAAAAATTATGCCTGAAGCTTTTATAATGGGTTGGAGCATTCGACGACCTTCTGATTATGCAATTCACATAGTGTAACACCTGGTTGTTATTCCTATAATCTTCACTAGATTCCTCAGATAACCCGCATAGGGTCAGTTTGCAATAAAGTTTCAAGCACCGACATTGCTCCGTGGTAGAATACTGGGCTGGCATTTAGGGGACCGGGATTCAAATTCCATTGTTCTGTCCTCTGTATTCTTTTTTTTTTCTTATTTCGTGCAACAGTGGATACAAACACCAGTGGCGGGTAACTACAGCATCGAAATCGGACCTTGCTGTGATCCCATAACAACTTTCAGCTGTAAAATGCCACTGCTTGAAAAACTGAAATGAAACAATTGCAACAGTTCCTTAGATGTTGTTCAGAAAGAGAACCCTTCGCTTAATCTGGTGTGTGCACACCACAATCATAGTGAAATTATTGATAAAAAGAAGAGCAATACAAATGTATATGAGCTACTTTAAAGTGCAGAGATCGTTTAGTAAAAGAATACAGCTGCACAACAGTGTCATTTTGAATTAATGCATACTATATTTTCTCACACACAAAACTCGCATTGAAACCACCGAAAAATTGTGTTTAGAAAGTGGGGGCGCGAGTTGTATACATGCATGTTATTTTAAAAGCGAATGCATTTATTAGTTGGGCTATGTCAAGCATCCGTCGGGATCCATCCACCGGCCTCTCCCATAGCAACAGCTGCAGGCGCGTGCGTCCAAAGTAAATGGAGCTCTCATCATGTCACGCTTCAGCATTGGCAGCTGTCAGCAACAGCTGTGGGCGCACGCGCGTATTCTCGCCCCTAGTGACCGGAGCCCCTACCTCCTTGACTTAAACGTGACACGTAAATGTAGTGCGTTAGAAACACATTTGTAGCCTTGGTGCTGCCAGCGTTTATTTTCATAAGACGCTGACAGTATAGCCATCAGGTACAATGACAGGTGCAGTGCTTCGGGGCTCCTCCTCTCGCCATTCGCTCTCTCTCCTCCCGGCGCCCTACTCCCCCATCCGCTCGCTCGTACGCATAAACTGAGTGAAGCGCGCGCCTTACTCTCGACCATTCGCTGGCTGATAAATGAGTAAATGGTTACGGTTGAAATCCTCGCCTAGTCATTAATTTACACCATTAAACTTACTCATTTCCTCATGATTCCCTTCGGGGAGGTGGGGCAATTTTTTTCGCTTTGTAGAGTTGAAGTTAGGGGTGCGGATTACATGCAGTAGAGGTCATATGCAATAAAATACGGCATATGTTGAATTGCTGAAGTAATAAAGTGGTTTGCCTAAACCATAACGGCAAAACTGGTGGGCCACATGAGAACAAGATATGCTTACTCAGTGGTGGGTAGCTGTTAATGCTAAAGCCCTGCCTGCCCCACAAAGCAAAAAAAAAAAAAAAAAAATCAGATGGGGAGAGAACTCCAGTGATCAAATGATGATGCCATCATGCGATATAGATGTTGATACAGTCGTCACCCCAAGATAGGCCATGATTTCTTCGGTGAATACAATCAGAGACTCAGGTGCCTTCAATTTGACCAACTCTGCATGTTTTTTCTGAAGCTGCACAGCAGTACACAAAAACCACTTAGATGAGTATCTAATTGAATCAGTCTCTGGACACAGCTGAAACAACTGTTACCACTTTTACTAGGAATGACTTTGCTCTCACTTAAAAAGGGATATCAGTTTACAGTTAAGGATTTCTTTGACATCCTAGTTTTAACGAATTAACACCCAACACAAAAATGCCTTCATTTAGAGTATTCATCAAGTATGAACATTGCCGAGACACACCTCACAGTACCTCATTATATACATACAAAATTCATTGCAGCTGTATTCTAGTAAAATGCAATGCTTATGTCCCTGCTTTCTGCAGTGTTTGCACGTAGAAACAGCCTTACACTGCAAGGAGTCACCGAGCAAACTTTTGCATGCTCCTTTCATTGCATATAACCATACTTACCAGCTATAGAATTATGTTGTTAGCAGTCCTGTCTGCAACTCATTGGTCGTAATCCATTATATCTTAGGCAGTTCTCTGCAATTCATGAAATATTTATGCACTCGATAACACTCACTGCAATTTTCGGTCACTCCTTTGCAGAAACCGGTTACAAGTAATCAGTTACTCTTATGATAAATGCTCGACTCTGAGCAACAAGTACATCGTTTGAATAAGACAATTCCTGGCACTCTAGAGCAACGGCTAGAGCAGTGTTTCGGCCTCCCTACCAAAAGAACTATCTTGCAGTTCAAGCAGTCCTAGACCTAGCTGCTGTAAAATTCTGTGCTTCATAACCAACTCGGAATTGATTCCGTGGGGCCGTAATTGTAATAGGTTACTTTTCTTCGGTAACATGTGCAAATCTGGTTGCCACTAAACATGTAAGAGTTAATACAACATGAATGTTTCATCACCCATAACCCTCATTCCAAAAACAAATGGTGGTCAAGCATTTAGCGCCATGTCAGACAGAGGTCAGTGAAATCTGAGAGCCAAGAGTGTAGAAAGCGTTACAGCGGGGCTCCCCTAATGATAGCGCCATTGACAAGAATAAACATGCAGAATGCAATACATTGGCCAGTTGGTTTTTTAACAGACAAAATCGCAGCACGTAAGACAGCACAGAGAAGAGGGCACATAAGATGCCAGACACAGTACTAAACCAAGCTACAGATCTTTTGATTCAAAAGAGGTAAATAATACCGGTGTCACATGGGCATTTTAATCGCGATCAGTGTCAATCCAGATCAGGTGCTACTACTAGGGTCATTTTCAATCACGATCAGGTGTGATCGGGATCGAGATTTTGCTGTTGTCTGCGTGACAGCAAAATCGGATCATATCGGGATGTAGTGAGACTGAAATAAGACATTTGCGACCCATTGTCGTTGCTTCCATCCTCAGCGATTGCGAAGGCACGGAATTTCAGAGCCTCCATCATTGCATTTTCAGCATCTGCAGCCAATTCACAGACGATGGAAAGTGTTCTCAGACGTCTGCACCCCGTATCGCTTCACGTCCTCACACTCTGGGGACATTTTCTGAAACAACAGTTCTGCATGATAGTATGCTTCGCATCAAGTTGTGATCTGCAAGAAATCCCGAGAATATATATGCATTCTGTGTGGATTGCATTGTCTTAGCAGCTGTTTTTTAAGGAACTCCCGATGTTTCCCTGCCCTTCTACCGCACGAATGTAGTTGTCATGCTTCTGTGAAGCAATGTGCACTTTTATCTCAGCCTTGCCGCCGTGTGGAATGCTCACACTATAAGCGCACATGGTACAGAATATATACTTGTCACCTTTCTGCGAAGTCACAAAGCACACAAACACCATTGTGTACCAGTGCAAAAACACTTGCAAGTGCTTCTTTGCTTTGACACTGCCATTGATCTCCCAACTAAACTCGTAGGAAACATGCAATCCGCACAACCACGCAACAAACACAAGTAACACCTATAGGCAAGCTGCATAAGCCTAGCGTGTGAAATGTGGGGGCCAAGACAGACAGACAAGTTGCGGTACCTTTTCCCTCGCCTTCGTTTGGTACGATGGTGAGTGCGTCTCGCGGCCGCTGGCCTTGGCTCACATGTGCGGTACTATAGTACCCAGAATATACTTTGTGATACTCTACGGTATGGTTACAATGAACTATAAGTGTAGTGGCGAGTGCAATTCCACAGCACCGCAACTGGCGCAGCAGAAAAAACTTACATATGCACGTGATTAAAAAAACAAAAGACATCTCAGCTGCGGCGGCCACTTTTTGGGAGATTCCAGAACCCAATCGTATAGTCAAAAGATTACGTAAAAATTCAGGAGCCTCCCTGTCAATTCGGGAGAGTAGGCATACCTGTACGTCGCATCGTACGCACACTTCGTGGTCGAATGAAGAGACCTTTACAGGAATTTACCGCTGGCAGGAGCAACTGGAAGACTTGAGATGCCAGAAGCTAAACTCTGGCACGTACGAGATTGACACTTCGCTGTGAATGGACGGCTACGAGCGAGGGCCATCAGAAATAAAAGCGAAGATTAAGAATCTTGATCAGCAGTACAGGAAAGTGCAAAGAAAAATCTATCGAATGATGCATTTAGGAAATCACTTTTGTAGTCATCCGCAAAGTTTTTCACGTTCGAATGGTTCTTGCATGAATAGCATTGCTGATAAAAGGCTCTATAAAAATATTGTACATAGAGTTTTGTCAGTGACATGCCTGGCAGCACGCAAGCACCACCTGGTACATTTGATCTGACCCAAGCTCGAACTGGATTAGCTTGGGCCGTGTAGCAGCGGTCATAAATTTGATCGCGATCAAGAAAACCGATCCGGATCGCCTTTATCGCATTAAAAAAGCCCATATGACACTTGTATACTAAATTTTGTGCAATAAATAAGCATATACATTATAAATGTAGAGAGACTAAGGATGACTAGAAAGATGAGAATAAACAAGCTTTTTCTACTGGTCAATAAGTTAGGCACATGAGTGAGTATAGATGCCTCAAAATATGAAGGCTGAGAACAGAACACATGGTTAACAATGGGAGGCTGGCTGTGCAATGGTGAACAGGATGTCACGAGTCAACGGCACTGGTATATGCCTTAGAAACAGTCCTGTTACAGTGAAGTATATAGATAAAAATGTAGCATAAATAAGGAAAAGAAAGCGATGTCGTAGGAAATTGTACCAGGCTGTACGTTTGCTAGGCACAGAGGTAACTTTTTGTTGACATTCACCGTCATTTAGAAAAGCGGATTAAAATCAACAAATAAATAGATGTGTTACTAAAAGTAACAGAGATGAACGCTCTTGGAAAAATAATAGCACAGAGCATTGGTTGTCATCTCGAGTGAAACATTACTGTACAGTCAAACCTCCTTAGTACGTATTTGCTTTAATTGTACAACAAACAGTTTAAACGTAGTTGCGATGAATCCCCAACTAAGTCTCGTAAAGACTAATGCATACCCTGATCGCTTAAGCCTTAGTGGTTTGTCTTATGCCTACCGCTTAGGGCGTACCAACTGCGTAGCACTATGACATTTAGCAAAAATCGGCCAATCAATTATTCCGACTTACGTGGATTGCAGCGATGTCTTTGCAAGAAATCATAGGAAAAAAGAACGAGAGTGACGCTGTGACCACGAACAAATGCACCGGTACAACATCGCTGACGAAAAGGCTTATCACAGTTAGTATCCCCAGCTATCTGCTACGGCACGACGAGTGTGGCATTGCTTTACTTTAAGCCAACTGCACACTTTTAATAGGAGACTACCTGGACACGCTGTGCTGCCCATTGCTGCCGCCTTGTTGCGCAGGACTGTGTTCAAGTGCGCACCGCATTGCAGAAACACAAACGGCTCGCTGCTGCAGAGTTTAGCGTTGCAAGTCGGGGGCACCAAAAAACCTCACTGTATTGACACTAACATGTGCACGATACAGCAAGCATAGCGCTGTTGTAACCATAGATAATCCAACAGCTTATTTTCCGCATCTGTGCATAGTCTGAACCGCAGCGGGCATATTCTACAGCCATCGGATCGGCAGTCAAAGCGTGCGTAGAGTAGGCAAAGCGCTGCATGCAACTACCGGTGTAGTTTAAAAAAAGCTCAGTTTTCGCTTAGACGCAGACCGCTGAGTGCATGCATCGCGACTACACTGTTTCGAAATACTCCTTGGTGTCACCACCATGTGTTATTGGACAGTTGTGCAAGAGTTACAATTTTTACTTTACCTTGAAAAAAAAAAAAATGGCTTAGTGGTGGGCACGGAAAGCAATCCTGCTGTGGCATTATATCTATTCCTTCGCGGGCGACGATGGTGCACGTCAGAAGACGCAAATTTGTAGCTGGTGCTTAATACGTAGTACTTTAAGTGCATAGCTATGTTGCCGTTCCCGGTAGGTGCATATTAATGACGTTTCACTGTACTCCTATTATTCTAGGATCTTCGTTAAAAATGCATCCATGCTTACCCCTGGAACAGCATGAAAGAACACTTACACACAGGAAAGCAACTTATCCCCTATAGCTCAGAATTATTACAAAATTTTACAATCCCCAACTCGCCCAATGATCAACCCCTGCAATTTTTCACAACAAATTGGGCCATTCTATTTTGTTCGCGCATGACAAATAATTTTAGGTGTATGGTAATAGTTTCTGTAGTTTGAGAAGCACTTGCTTCAAAATAATCCTGAAACAGTTTTGTCAATTGGAATAAAAGCACCAAGCTGGTGGATCAACTCTTTCGCATTGTCAGATGACTGATTTAAACTCAATGTGAAGCATGAGATTTATTAAATGGCTTAAAAATCTGTGAATTTTTGCAGATAGCAGTGCCCCAGCCAAGAGAGTTTGTCCGTAATAATTGAAACATATTATATTTGTTTTGCTAAACAAAACAATAAAGAAAGAGAATATGCTATCACGATTCAATACTAGACTCTGAGACTTGCAGTAGACAACAAATGGAGTCTGCTAGCATTGCAAAAGGTGGAGTCTTTTTGGAGCACATGGTGGCACAGAGCTCTAGCAAACACAGGGAGACTTCTCTTATCTGCCTCATAATCATATCAAGGTTTTAGTAAATAAAACCCCAGAAATTGTTGTTTGCCAGTTCAATTTAAAGAAGTAATTTCAACGACACTTACAGGGTGCAGAAAAATACCGAAAATAAAAGCCCAGAAATGACCAGTGCACTGGCTGCCAAGGCCTAAAATAGTTTGCAAAAGTGAGGGTAAGGTTTTTCTCTTCCAACAATCCAACGACAAAAACGACATGGGGTAAACAGTACAGCCTTTTTAAAGCTTTATCAGCTTTAGACATAAACAATCTTGCAAGCATTGAATTGTGCAGGTTTAGCAGCCAACAGAGTTGACAGCGAGATGCATAAGCTCATGAAATCATTGTCGCGCATTAATGTGCTTACAAACATGCCGTACAGACATATTAAAGCACCCAGAATTATGTACAGAAAGGATAAACACTATGTACAACACTCCTGCAGTCTTAAACAGCAGGAAAATGCTCGGCTACTAGTCACTAATAGCCAACAACTCTCACTGCAAACCATGAACAGCGAACAGGTATGCAGAGGTGTGCTTTAGTACGCTTCAAGCAGACTTTCTTAAATAAAAAAAATCAAGTAGAAGAAGTAACACACTACAGAGTCGATGCAAAGCCGAGTACCAGCTGCTTGTATAGATTGCTCATGTGAGTCCTTGCAGATGACTCATGCATTGTCCGAACAAAAATGACTCCAACTATAAAAATGCTTGGAGCTGAAAAACTAGATAATGCCAATGTAGGAGGCCTCTTGAGAACTCAGCACGCCAGTTGTGTGGCAGATGGTGCATGGTGAATTTAGACGCATCATTCGCTGACCGTAGCGTTTCGTGCCGACCGGCCACGCAAGTCGATGATGAGGGCCGTGATGTTGTCCAGGGAGCCCGCGTTGAATGCCCGCACGACCAGCTCACGGGCCCCGCAGAGCGGTTCGTCAAGGTACTGCAATGCCAACGAAGCTGCCTGCTCGTTGCTCAACGCATCCCACAGGCCATCCGAGGCGAGCACGGCGCAAGCTGCACCTCCGCCGTTGACTCCGGACAAGTCGAAAGTGAGCACGTCAGGCTGCGCTACCAACAGACGACGCTCCTTGAGTGGGTAGTCGCCCAGTGCACGGGACGTTGCCAGCACACCGGCCACTCGCCAGACGCCGTTGAAGGTGATGAAGCCACCAGCTTCACGAATGCGCTTGTGCTCCTTCAACTGTGAGAAAATAGTATCAAATTAGGAGAAACGCTCAACAATGTATCAAAATATTGTTAAACAACTAAGCCATGCCATACCTCGAATCTTCTCTCACCAAGCCATACAAGCACAAAATAAGTGCCAGATTTAAAACAGAGGTTACGTGTCTCTTATATGTAAGTAATCTTCGCATGCCAGTGGCCACTGCTGCTGAACGTATAAAGAAGTCTGTTTTGTCAAACCAAGCAGACAGCCAAGCATGTAGTACGTATTGCTTACATTCATTGCATATCTCGCGTCCATAAAAAAGTGGAAGCAGTGTTGCCAAATTAGCGGTTTCTTCGCTAAACCTAAGAGGATTTTGTTATCTTTAGCGGGCGAAATTGTTGCATCGTGGAAGGCAGAACTTTTGCAGTTACAAAGCCTTGCTAGCTTTTCTTTCAGTGGCCTTATTTTTCTGCAAAAAAATACGCCTGCACTGGCATGACTTCAGTGAAGTGAATGTGACCGAAGACAAACAAGTAAAGAAGTTTTGACCAAGCTCCAACGGAAGGGCAATCTGCATTACATGCAGGTTACTTGCAAAAAAATCCCTGCGGCAACTAAAAAAATTATATTTGTAGATATGATCCTGAGTATAGATGTGCCAATGGTTTCAGAAACAAATATTTCGATCTTCTCTGCCAGAGAACCCACCAGCATGATATTAAAGAAGGCCATCTCTTACAAACCAACAAATGCTAGACCAACCAACCCACCCACCTACCTAGCTACCTATCTCTAACATCATATACAACAAACATGGATATAACGATGTAACTGAAAATAGTCTTGCATTAGATAACAGCGTTGGGAATAACCTTTATAAGAAATTTGCAGATATAAAAACTTTTCTCCTTGCAAGATAAAACTTTGTTATAATGAGTTCCGAGTGCGTACATACAGGGTGTTTCAAGAAGGTGTCCAATATTTTTTTAAAATTGCCGAAAGGAGGTATCTGCCTATTACTTGTGGCGTTGCCTTCATGTGGCAGAAGGCATCTTCAGATGGGTACAAACATCTATTACAGCAGTAACTATAAAAATTAACACAATAAACTTTTTAACCAGTGGTAATAGCCAGTCGAGTCGAATGGGCAAATTCAAGCCCCCTTTGAAATTTGGGAAGTGCAGCCACTGGTAACCACCACAGAGCGATGCAATGTGGCCAATTTGGGTAGCAAAATCGAAACTGACGCACAAAAGAGCGCATCTACCATTAACAGTGTCATCATTAAGGGGAGAAGCGGGTCTTTGAGACCGAAAATCGCTAAAAAATACGATTCTTTGAAAATGCTATATTTCGATTCTCCAACTATTGCAGCATAATCTCGCCAATTTTCACACATTTTAGATAGGTAATTTAGCCATGAGAGTAGTTTATGCGACGTTAGTGAGCTGGATTTTTGGCGATGGACGCGTGAAAAATGGGCTTTTTCAGCGCCACGATGTTGCCATTCTACGCTTGCTACAGCAGCCGTCTCGGTCCCATTCGAAAGAGCCGCCCTTTTTCTTTCATATCCTGCCGCGCTTCTTTTCGTCCACTCAGTATGCACGCCGTGAATCCTCGTAAAAAAAGGCCCCGTCGCGTGAGCCTATTGATGCGGTGAGCACACGTGACTCAATTGCGCCTTCTCATTCGCCGGGACTCCCGGGCTGTCTGCTGCGTGCGGCAGCGGAGCGCACGCGTAATGGCGAGTGTATGTCACTTTGTACTCGTCGGCTTCCTGAACTCGCGAGAGCTAGCGAGAAATTAGAGCAAGCATCTCTGTATAGTCTCTGCGTTCGACGGTGTACTGGTACGGCGCTGAACGAGCCCTACGAAGCCGCCGGGACAGTGCGGTAGGCCTACGCTCTCAGCCGCGTTTTCCCAAGCTGTCTCTACTGCGTGCGGCAGTAGAGCGCACGTGAAGCGGCGAGTGCATCTCGCTCACATGTCATTGTTCTCGTCGGCTTCCTGAACCCGCGTGAGCTAGCGAGAAATTGGAGCATGTGTTTCTCAAGTCTGCACATGCAGGCACGCCCTCGAACCAGCACGACGAAGCGCGCCGCAGCCACCAAGCCAGTGCGTCAGGCCTACGCTCTCGGCCACGTTTTGAATCTGGCTTGAATCTTTCATCATGCCGAAGCCGTATTGCAAGTTCCGCACCGCTCACAAGTTTAGAAAAAATCGCAAGAAATCTACGGCAAAAAGAAATAATGGCGCGGGTATATCCGATGCACACCTAGTACAGGACGGCGCGGCGACAGAACACGATCAGTCGGATGAAACGCGGACATCTTCGCCTGTTTCCCTGGCCGCCTCAGACGACGTTGGCGATAGGCAGCGCATAAGGAACGACACAACCTTTTTGATGAGCACCGATCGTGCGCAGCAGGAGGAAGTGAGTGCTGATAAGATCAGCAGCTTATCGGCAACTTCAGCGAGCGAGCGCAAGCTGCGAACGCTCGCAACAGCGCGTGAGGACTCGAACCCGTCGGCGGCTACCTACAGGATCGTCGACTTATCTGCAATAAACACGCTTCTTGGAAGAATGGCTAAATGCCGGACATGCAGTGAGACCATTTCTATTGAAAAATGTGAGCGTGAATATGGACTTGCGATGAAGCTGATTTCAGAGTGCCGCAACTCTGGACTTGCTGACAGTGAATGGAGCTCCGGGAGGGTACCCAGTCAAACTAAATTCGCTGCATTTGAAAATGTCCGAAGTCAATATCTGGAATGAAAGAAGCCTCCACACGTATCCTCAAAGAACTTCAGCTAGAGCATCCTCAAAGAACTTCAGCTATCGGGATTATCATGTTTTCACCAGTCATACATCTCATCATTCATTGATGTCACTTAACACCAAATTTGGTATATTTGGAGCTAGAAAGACGGCCGCGAGCGCATCATGAAGGGCCCAATATACTCCAATATAGTGTTGACGCGCGCGCATGCTGGGCACAGCAATGCTACGTCTATAGCCTGATGCCAGGCGCGACCAGCGTCCGTCAGCGGGGCCCGACGGCAACCGGCGCGAAATGCGACATGCTGCATTCCGCCCCGATGCGTTACCCAGACAACACTGCGTCTCCCTCTTTTCGTGACGGAAGGACGCCAGACGCGCTAAAACGCGCATGCGTCAGAGCATCGCAGCGTGGCGCGCGCCTGCGAATATATGGCAAGTCCAGTGCCTGGCGTGGCATCGCCGGCGTGACGCCACGAAATAAAATGCCGGCGAACACACACACCACTCCACGTCGAAATGTATTGGCGCCTTGACTGTAGCATGTAGTCATGTTCACACATGACACGCATCCTATGATTATCATGTTTGTACTAGTCACATACCTTCATCATTCATTGGCAGCACGTAATGCCAAATTTGGCATATGTGAAGCTAGCGAAACGGCCCCGAGCGCATCATGAGTGCGGCATGTAGTGACGTTACATGACACGCATGTCATGTGTATCATGTTTGGACATGTCATTTACATATGTTGTTCGTTGGCGTCACGTAATACTGAATTTGGTACATGTGAAGTTAGTGAGACGGCCGCGAGTGCATCATGAGCGTAGCATGTAGTCATGTTGTTACATGACACGCATCACATGATTATCCTGTTTGCGCCAGTCACATACCTTCGTCTCCCATTCACGTAGTGCAATACCAAATTAGGTATATGTGACGCTAGTTAAACAGCGGTGAGCGCATCATGAGCGTGGCATGTAGTCATGCTGTTACATGACTCGCATGTCACGATTTTCATGTTAGGGTCTGTCACTTGTGTTTGCCATGCAATCATACCATACCAAAACAGTTATGCAACATGTGATGTGACTGAAACCACCGCAAGAGCTGCAGGACCATGAAATGTAAATCATGACATTCATGACATACATGTCATGATTTTCATGTTATGACTAGTCAAATACCTTCTTCATACAGTCATGTTGTGCCATACCAAGTTTGGTATTGATACCATCATCGAAACAGCCAGGAGAGCTAAAAGTCATAGGTGGCTTGATAGATAGATAGATACGCTCAAAGTCTCTGAAGTTCACTAAGAAATGCTTGGCATTTAAAGACTGCTACCCCCCCCCCCCTCACGCCCTCTTTTTTTTTTCATGATGGAGTTAAGTTTAGTCATTCTTTATTGGTGCTTAACCTTCCCGCCTCATAGCGCACTCCCATGTGCCGCGCAATACGGTGTCTTTGGAATCCTTAAACGAAAATTGAGCTGTATTCGCGTAAGATTGAGCAAGCATGGCACAAGAACCGCAAAGGTGATGTTTGCTGAGGGATCTTCTTTTTATTCGTATTATTTACCGGCATTCAAGATGTCATTCCCGCGTATGCGTGTGTGTGCGCGTGTGTGGGTGTGGGCACACGCATCTGACAGGCCCGTGACCAGGAATTTTTTCCTGGGGGAGGGGGGGCACTTGTTGAAGGCTTTAAAAAAATATCCATATTTGGGCAGTGGACCAAAGAAAACACACAAGAGAATGAAACAAGACAAGTTAAAAAAAAAACACCAGCACTTGTTTTGTTTCCTTCTCTTGCGTTTCCTTTTGTGCGCTGCCCAATTATGAATAAGTTCCAACTCACCCACCTTTCAGTTGAAAAAAATATATTTTTATTAGACTCAAACCTATTTACAATGAACATGAATATAACAGAACACTGGTTATAACAAAGTAAACAAAAAATAGTCTTGCGGTTGATACCGTGTTAGTAATAACCTTCATATATCCGAATTCATTTTTTTGTCTGCCCAAGTTTTCACGGAGGGGTGGGGGTAGAGTACCCTCCCATCTGGCTAGGCCTGTGTGGGTACATATAGTAGAATCTTAATAGAAATTTCAAGAAAGCTTTACAAAATACAGTGGACTCCCATTAAACGAAATTCTAGGCACATTTGGTTGCTCTCCTATATATTTAATGATAAAGAGTTTCGGGTAAGAGGAACATTTTTTTTTTCAACCTACGTCAGTTA